GCGTGCCGAAGACCCGGGGGACAGCGCTGGCCGGACCGGCGGGACGGTTAGGAGTCCTGTGTGTGGAGATCCATCAAATGCATGGCAGCAAGTGGCCCTGGCTGTAGGGTAACACGGTTCCCCACTCTGCTCTCAGTGGCTGCTGTTAATTGGGAAGAGCCATGTATGGTTGTAATTTGACTATGGCTGATTAACCGTCTTGCATAGATGATTTAACACTTTTTTTCCCTTTCTCAACTCATGGAGCTGCTTTTTACTGGCTTCAGTTTATGTCGGGGTTTAAGGTTTTGCATTGATTGCTTCCTTCAGGAAGACCAGAATATATTCTCATTATCCTGACAGAAAATAAAGAGTTTCATATTATTCAAGACATTTTAGGGACTCGCAAGGTCTTGTTTGTCACTCACATATACTAACCAAACTTTTAATGAGTTGCCAATTAACATTTCTGCAGAATAGAAATAATCTATTCATGTGGTGGCTTTGCTAGCTAAAGAGATTTTACGAACTGGTGTTTTCCCAGCTGCAGAACACAAAAGCATTCACAGATGCTAACCAAATGGCCTAAGCTGAAGACATTTTATTGCCTAATTGATGTTTTAAGAGCACTTTCCTGATATATTTTTCCTCTTTATATTTTATGACTGTGCTTACATTTGATTTCTTTGTATTTGCTGAATAGGAATTAACAAGTAGAGGAGAACATTTCAAAACCTGAAAATACTCATCAGCATAAATTAAAGAGGATTGTTCTCACAGATTGCTACCTGAAATGGCTTGTAAAAGTATTCTCTCCGCAGCAGTGTTTCAAAGTCGTCTTTGTCTTGTCCTTCACTGTTGGATGTAAGAGAAAAAAGTGTGTCTTCTAGAACATGTTTGTGTTTACTTTCCTTTGGTGACTGTCATCCCTTCCAAGGTTCCTGTTATCAGGATCAGCAAACTGATAACTGGTCAGGGATTGCTCCACAGCAAGCACCTGTTTTCAGAAAGCATGTTAACAAGGTGGCTCTGGTCACAGTGTAATTCAGATACTGTTCAGTAGTTCACCAATTTCTGGGTGGTCAATGTATGTTATTGTTTGCCACACGCTTTACTCATGAGTTTCTCAGAATCCTGAGGACTTTACAAGGATGCCTTGGAAAACACGTGCAGAAGTATTTCAGGTATGGCAGCAGAGCTAGGCTTGGGTAGTTCTGGCTCTAGGCGCTGGGGGGGGTCAGGCATGAAGTTCCGGTGCTGGTATAAAGATGAACCCTGGCTTTCAGCTGGGCCAGGACATTACTTCATTGCCTCTATGGAGCAGGACTCATGTAAGCCAGGATATGCCTGTGGTGGGTTGGCCTTGGCTGGCCACCAGGTGCCCACCGAGCTGCTCTATCACTCCTGCTCAGCAGGACAGGGATACAGAATAGCATTAAAAACTCACGGGTCAAGATAAAGGCAGTTTAATGAATAAAAGCAAAGGCCATGCTCAGAAGCAAAGGAAAGCAAAAAGATTTATTCTCTATTTCTCATCAACAGGTGATGTCCGGCCACTTCCTGAGAGGTAGGGCCGCAGTACCCGTAGCGGTTGCTTTAGAAGACAAACACCTTAATAATGAATGCTTCGCCCCCCACCTCCTCCTTTCTCTTAGGTTTTATTGCTGAGCATGACGTCATATGGTATGGAATATCCCTTTGGTCAGTTTGGGTCAGCTGTCCCAGCTGTGTCCCCCCCCAACCTCCTGCACACTCCCAGCCCACTGGCGTTTGGCAGGGTGTTGGAGAGGGAGCCCCGATGCTGTGCGAGTGCTGATCAGCAGTAGCCCAAACACTGGAGCGGTATGAAGGCCGTCCTAGCTACAAACACAAAGCACAGCTCTATGTGGACTGCAGTGGGGAATGTTAACTCTGTCCCAGCCAGACCAAATACAGTGCCACAACTCTTGGGTGGTCTCTGTGTATTTCTTGTAAACAGGTACTCTAGAGCCAGAAGAAATAAGCTAGATAATTACATCGTGTAATTACATCCTGACCTCTCCCACACTCTCTCAGCTTAGTTTGATGTTTGAAGTTAGCAAATCCGTGGCTTCTGTGTGCATTTTGCTTCATAAAAGCTTTCAAGATTTTGCACAAAAATAAAGCATGGAAGTACATTGAGAAAAAATAAAGCTGTTAAAATTCAAAGGAACTGGGTATACATAGAACAATAAAACCCAAACAGAAAAAAAAAATGTTAACTGGGAAGATGCAATGCCAGCGATCGAAGAGTTGATCACAGCCACTTGCCTTTATGGAAGAGGCATTACCTGTCACGGTATTGGTTC